ATCTTGGAGGAGAGGCTTTATGTTTGAAAAGATCTTTCACTAATGCCAGTGAAGGTGAAAATAAATTAGGAGGCGACTTGTGATTATGATAAATAGAATATTTGATTGAAACGTGTACAACTCTTACTGCTATCTTGCTTATTTTTAAATGTGTATTAGCTTTTATTCTGTTTTGTATTTGTTTTCCATTGTTCTTTAACACTCACTAGGTTTATATGCATGGGCAGTTTAACAGTCAAAGCTTTTTTTTTTTTTAAGGGAGGTTAAGGATAAAGTGTTGCAACTGTCTTTCCTTTCTGTTTGTGTGTGTGTATATATATTTCAGACTAATGCACAGTGCCTTTAGTATTTTTCTATGTCGAGGTTAAATGATAAAGATTTGATTTGTACAGCTCTTTGATTTTAAAGAATTTTTGTAACATTTAATTTTATTTTTTATTAACTGATGTCTAAATAAACAGTTTTATTTAACCATATTTATATGCATCACCTGTGGTCATATTTCACATTGGAGCAGAAATGCTGATTTGTTTAACACGATGCTGTGAAAAGTGATGATTTGCCGCCACCTGCTGGTTACACCGTCAAATGTAGAATTGTGAGCACAAGACAGGTTTGGCAATCTGGGTTTGTTGGTGTTTTATATATTCATAACATTTTCCCCTGCATGTATGGGAAGCTCTTTGCTGTCATTATGCTGTGACATAATTCAGGATAACAGCTGACAAAAAGTTCTTAGGGGTATAGCCACACTGAGCTGCTGTCTTGCATGTTAATACACAATTTGATCACTTATGCTACCACTGCACATTATCAGTTCAGTATTACTGCTATTTTATGTAGATTTTTTTTTCTTCAAAACACATTAGAGAAAATTGAAAAGTGGAGGAAAATTCTTTTTTTATTTTGTAATTTTACAACTTAAAAAAAAAATAAATGGTTTATAGTTAAGTAAGAAACTTTAAAGATAATAAATATGGTTGAAACTAGATGATTTTTCGACAGAAATGTGGATGTGACTGGTGGTTTCTGTAGAGACCACAGATGAAGTTGGCAATGATCTGCACGGCTTTGGATTCTGACCAGTAAATAAAGTTTACGTAGTTCAGAAACATCCAAATGAGAAGAAGTTGACAAAAAGAAGTTGCATTTAAATTAAATCCAACCTGAACATTTAATTAAGATTTGTTCACTTATACTTGCAAAAAAAAAAAAAAAAATCAAAGATAAAGAAAAATGTATTTTACAAAATGTTATTGTATATTTTTAAATAAGCAATTTATGAATAAACTTATATCATTTATAGACAGATTGGAAGACAGATCTATGGATAGTGAAGAGTTTTAATAAATTAATGGCACACTTAAATAATTACTACATAAATTATTTATTGTCATTTGACTCTCTTCACTCTCCATAAGCAGTTTGGTATTAAGCTCTGAAAATATAAAAACAAATGTATCCCTCATATAGCTTTAGGGTTTAAAGATATATATATATATATATATATATATATATAT